CAAAATTTCCATCTTTTTCTGTTAGATGGGAGTAACCTACCTTTGTAGTTACCGGCATTTGCGAAGAATCCGCAAGCGTAAACCAAAAATGCCTGGAATATCGAATCTTTTCTAAAGACAAAGAATTTTTACAATTTCAACAACAACAAATTTACTGTAAAATCATCGGCACTGACGCCAGCTGCTAGTGCGGCAGCTCTGAGCTCTTCAACTGGTTCAGCGGAAAAGACACGATTCAACAGTGAGAAAATTAACGGTGCTTCCGGACTTGACTGAATCAATGCTATCAAGCCACCATTCCATGATGCCTACAAAATAAATAATAATCCGGTCACAACTCATTTCAATTTTAACCACTGTCATCTACCCCAAAAATGTGTGAGCCTTTATTACCTGGCTGAAGTAATGCGCATACAATTTTTCCTTGTCCGTTAGATTCTTAAACGCTGTAACGCACTCCAAGTCACCGACCGGCTGATTGTTTGGCAACACAAAGTGTGTTTTATCAACACTACCTCCCACCATAATGGATTTCGCTGAAATATAGACAATTCAACAAAATAAATTTATCTTTTTTCTTCTCGTACCAACATCAATTAATTGGTGTTTAATATATTTGCCGGAAAAATATGATGCAATCAACAAAAAATTCTATCAAAAAAGTAAATTCTTTCATCCAAATGAGATAAACTTCTTGATTAACATTTGCCATTGAATGAAAAAAAATACTACGATAATTTAACAAAAAAAAAACGCAAGTAGAAAGTTTTTCTTGTCAAAATTGTGCAAAAGAGAAAAAAAGCGACACTTACAAATGATTCGAGTTGGTTTAAATATTCCGGCTGTATTCAAAAGTTGCTTATGAAAATGTTGTGCATTTATTTTCTGCCAACTGTATAGAGTTTGTAATGTATTGTGTCGGAATAATTTGTTCATAAAAATGTCGTTTTTTATAAAATAAAAAACGGACGAACGAAAAAGAAAAACAACCGAGATTGGTTCCAACGAATAAACTAGGTGATATGTGAAGGTACCAACACAAAATACAGTTTCTCTCTCCGCGGTTTTGAACGAATGGATTGGATGACAAGACAATTTTTCTCCGTCGAGTGATTGTCACGTTAGGTACGTTTGCTTGTTAAGTACGTTTGCTTGCCGCAGAGTGAACGTATGTCAAAAAAAAATTGTATGCAAACCGGGACGGAGAAAGAGAGCGAGGTAGAGAGAGAGAGAGAGAGAGATGGAGGAAGTGTGTCAGTGGAAAAGTGGTATACAACTCTTATACAAAGTGAACGAATTTGACAGCTGTGTTGCTGTTGGTCGTGTTTTGTTTACCAAAAAAGAATCAATTGCTTTCGTTCGATATCAAATTTATTGTGAGAGTGCGATTTGAACGTGATTCCGAGGATTTATTGCAATTCGTAGCAAAATTTAATGACACTGGCCAATTTAAAGTCAAAATGTCCCGGATTGTATTGTGGCAGGCAGTTTACCGATTCGATCAACGGATCGATACCTTGGAGCGATTGTGGTGCCTGCCCCAGAGGCTATCGCGTTAGCATCATGAGCGATTTCAGTGAATGCATGCCATGCGAAAATAATCCATCCACATACGATTGGCTATATTTAGGCTTTATGGCAATGCTGCCGCTCATTTTGCACTGGTTCTTCATCGATTTGGCGGCCAAAGAACGATGGTTGGTTTTGTCAATTGTTTACTTTCGGAAATTTCACAGACACATGTTTTATTTTCAATTTTTTTTTCTCTTTTCGAAATATGATGTAATCGACTCGTCTAAAATTCTATTCTGGTTCTCATTTTAGCTTCACCAAAGGAGAGATCATCTTGCATATCAGTGCATTTTTTGAAGTCTTGACATCAGCTATTGTTACGCTATTGATCTACGAACCGTATTGGACACTGAAAATTCATTCGTGCGCCGTAGCACGGCTATCCGATTGGTACACATTATTTCACAATCCAACACCGAACTATGACAAGAAATTGTACTGCACACAAGAGGCAGTTTATCCATTGTAAGTCTTTGAGTGATTTTTGACGGATTCATACTAATTTATTGACTCTCATTTTTGCAGGCAAACAATGGTCTTAGTATTTTACCTATTATGTATTATTTTGATGATGCTCGTTCGGCCCATACTCAATGTGTATTTTTTAAAAAATGGCAAAATGGCTGTTTACAGTGCACTTTATTTTATTCCAATATTAGCACTGCTGCACACAATTATCGGCGGCCTAATGTGTATGTATCTATTGATCAAAAAAATTCATATCATTCGTTGAAAACGTCTAAATAATTCGTTTCTTTCAGATTATGCTTTTCCCTATTTAAGTATAATCATATCGATGATTTCAAATGCCGCTCATTTCTCAATGAAATTGGATCAAAGTATGAAAGCATTATTTGTGTCGTCAATCACTGAAACAAAAAACTGCATAATCATCGGTAGAAAACAATTTTTATTTGAAATTTCAAGCTAAATTTATTTGATAAATTTTCACTAGAAAGAATCAAGTCATTTATCTAACAATATTTATTTTTCTTCTCAATTTCAGTTGGCCATTGGTTGATTCTAGCCTATGGTATTATGTCATTAACCGTAAGCAATGCGATTTTGTTGGTGATGGTGCCGTTGCCTGCTCTCTTCTACATATTTACCGTCAAATTCACCGATCCAAGTGAATTTCGTGAAAGAGACGAACGAAATCATTAATTATATTTTGTAACTATAGTTAATTTGTTAAGTTGATTGAAATAAAAAAGAAGAAAATCTCAAGCAAAAATACTTTCACATATGGCAACACTAGAAAAAAACACACCAAAAAATCTGCGTCGAACATTTTCGAGGTTACCAGCAATTTCTATCAACATACATTATTGTTTTGATTGTGGCTGTCAAACCGTAAACATCAAACACCGATTTTGCATCAGTGGCAAAAGCAAGTTATAGATTAAATTGAGAAAATATGGCTGCAGGAGGGCCGAAAATCGTTGGAAATTATCCAATTGAACAGATATGGATGGACGAATCGAAGGGACTTCGTAAAGCATTGATTTCATTCAAATTTCAGTCAACATTCAAGGCAAACGATTTCTCCAAGTGCTGTGTTGCCATTACGGAAGTGAATGGCCTAAAGGAGCATCATGCCAGTGAATATTTACGTGCAGAACATCGAAATCTTGACTATTGGATTACACTGTCGAATGCTGTCACGCCGATCGATTGTTATGTGGAAGTATTTTTGAAGCGAATGTTAATCGGCGAAACGAGTCAATGTGCAATCAAAACCAAATCCGGCGACTATATAACATTTGTGATACGATTGATTCGGATTGAGTTTGGTGGGTATTTGTATGGGAAAACGTTGCCAGACATTGTGGCACTGGCACAACACTACCGGGAGAATGGTGTGAAAATGTTCAAGGATTATCCATTATTTGCACATGATTACTTCAACAAGGCGGCGAAGGTGCTGATTTCATGCAAACCATTCGAAACATTGGCAGAACGTGAGTCGGGAATGACTGAAGTGGATCCAGTGAAATTGCGCGAATTGCTTGAGACTATTTTATCCAATATTAGCCTATGTTTGATTAAACAGCAGAGATACGATGAAGCGGCACATGTCATGGAATTTGCTGATCGACCCGAAAACGTTCCGGACAAACAGATTTACCGTCGTGCCATCGCTCTCTATCATCTTGGCAAACTGGACGATGCCAGAAAAACTATTGAACGCATCAACTATAAAGATAAAAAGGAATGCCTACTTTTGCACAATAATATCGCCGAAAAGCTTAAAGAATCCGATCAAAACTATCGCAAAATGATAAAGAATATGTTTGCATAACCGATTTGTTCATTTTCCATTGTTTTAATAAGTTTATTAAATAAAACTCACTTAATTTTATTTACAACAATTAATCGATTGGTTTACAATTTTTGTGTTTTTCTTTGCAATTGATTTACTTTGTAAATTCAATTCAATTTTAAATATACTAATGCTTCGTGGATGATTCGATGACCTCCGGCGTCGTTTGGGCTATAAAGAATCTCATTTTCAATAAGATTTAATGATTTAAACAGAAGTCCATTGTTTGGATCGTAATTACCGGTCGTATTGGACTGAGGTTGTGGTAGTGGTGGTGGTGGTGATGGTGGTGGTGTTGGTCCCGGTGGTGGATTATCATTATCATCATCATCTTTGCTAGAACCTAGAATTTTAATTCGTGGTAACCATTTTCGAGACTCTAATTCAGCTACGGTGCGTTGCAAATGTCGAATTTGTGCATCTTGACGCTCAATATTCAGGGCTAACTCTTGTAGTGTCCACTGAAGTTCTCGCTTCTCCTCCAATATTTGATCCTCTCTGGCATATTCTTTCGCCGATTGCCTAGTTAAATAACAACAGACATAAAAGTGTTAGGACACAAATACAGAAATCACTGTGTGTTGTGCATACCGCACATCCGACAAAACATCGAGTAAGTTTCTATCGGCCTAGACCGATGTTTTCAGCTGAAAACAATTTGTTTTTAGCACCACGACACATTTTCGAATTTTGGCATGAATGTCGATCAAGTGTTAATGAACTATTTATGAGTAAGTCAAGGTTAACAAACAGATTTTTCGGATCACAAAAACCTTTTTGTTGTGTTGCCACGAAAAAAACGTACCGTTTATATTCAAATATCAATAGACCAGCACCGATTGAGTAAATAATCGTTTCGCCCAGCAAATTTGCACCCAATTCAATGGCTTGTGTTTCATTCAATTCGGGTATTTTTACTGGTTTACCCAAATTCAATACCCACATTCTCGTTTTTACTTCCATCCAATTGTAAACTATTGTTGTGTGAGGACAAAACGGAAAAATATTGTGTGAAAAAATGTGTATTTCATCGTTATTCAATGTGAAAAAAAATTGATTTTGCACGTAGAAAAATGGCTTACATTGAGCTGGAGGCATACAGATGTATTTCCGAAAGAATGGATGACTTTTGGCCCGTTCTTTCATGACATTTGCAATTGGTTTGCTCAGCTGCTTAAATGCTAGAACAGCAAGCTTTACGGCTGGAAATGCTCCAACAACCATGGTCGAATTGTTCTAAAAAAAATTATTCGTATTTTTATTCTATAAATGTCTCAGAATAGATATGAAATTTTGCACGAATCCGTCATGCTCATCCGTTTTTGACGTTTCGTACAGCTATCGAATAAACAAAGCAGGGCCTACCTTTGGCATGTGTGTGTATGTGAGTTACGGTAATATTTGAACCGCATCTTTTTTTAAAAACATTTTAGGGTTATATATACACAATATTTATTCATTGAAAATAATCGAAATTTTACAATAATTTACACAAATTCCATTTCAATAGTTATAATTTATTTGGTCTAAAATTATTTTCTAAATTTTTTGTTTTGTGTTGGTTTAAATAAAATACAATTTATGTTTAGTATTATGATTGCCATATTTGTTGAACATTTGCAACGACATCTTCTTGTTTCGATAGTTTGTGCATCATAAAGTATCCTTGGATTTGAGCTGGGCTCGCTTTTTTACCAACAGCTAAAACAGCCTCAGCAAATTGTTTGTGTAGTGTTTTTGTCTCCTCTTCACCATCGCCATTCTGAATGGTATAGAAACGTTTGAACATTTCCTCTAATTGATAACGACCACAGTATCCAATGTATTCTTTGAAATCGATGCGACCCGGTCGAATGAGTGCTGGATCGAGTCTGTCCAAATAGTTTGTGGTCATGAATACGATACGTGCTTCGGTGGATGCAACACCATCTAGGCAATTCAATAAACCGCTGAATGTAACACGATTCAATCCTTCGAAGGCGGCATGCTGAGCCGTTGAATCTTCGCGTGACATAAACGCTGCATCGATATCTTCGAGAAGGATAATCGAACGCTCGGGTGCATTATTCAGCAATTGATTCAAACGATCATCGGTTAAACCACGTTCGCTTAAATTCAATAGACAAATACTAAACTCCAATTCACCGGCCAAAGCCGTAATAAATGATGATTTACCGCAACCGGGTGGTCCATGTAATAAATATCCTCGACGATACGGGATCCCTCGATCCGAATACCATTTTGGATTACCGATAAATTCACGACAATCGGCTAAAATTCTATCCGTTATATGTTCATCCAGTACAACCGATGAGATTGGTCGTCGTTTTCGTGGCTGACCGAATTGCCTCCAGTCTGGTCCCATTGCTGTGTACAAAAGTGTTTTACCTTCGGTGAATTTCAATGCCATTTCACGTGCCTCTTCAAGCATATTAAAATAAAGGTTACGATTACGACCGAATGCCGTCAATTCAACCGTTTCAAATGGAATGCCCATTTGAATGTCAAGCGTTGCCTGTTGCCGTGTCCGTTCGACTCGAACCCAATTGCCTTGATAGTACATGATGTGTGTTCCAATGCTCGGAATAAATGCATATTCCGTACTCACATGACCCGTGTCTCGCTGCACAAACGATGTCTCAACACTCAGATGCTGCGTTTTGCGTGCACCTTTCTGTGATATCCACTGTAACAGCCATTGATATGATTTATCACGGCATGGCACTTCCAATGTTATCATATAATGACGACGGAACAGAATGAATGCACCTTGCATTCCTTTGCGCAACAGCGCCGCACCAGCTCCAACACCGAACAAACCAAATCCAGCCGTGAATAGGTTATTCGATGCTAATTCTGCCACCACATCATTCAACGGCATCGCAATACCAATTAATAACTACAACAAATTTGTTTTGTAATTAGTTGTTCGTTTCAATTTCATTTCAAAATGTTTTATAACAATTACAATGCGTTTGACAGCTGAACTTGCGTGAACTAACCTCAGTTTACGACAGAGAAAAAGTGAAGAGAAAAAAAATTACCGCAAACTTTCATTCAGTCATCGGCAGCTGTCATCGTTACGCGCCAAATTCCATTAGTCAGATGGTGTAAAAACAAGCTCAACTCAATGAAAACACATATCGCCGGGAATAAATGCTCTTTTAATTTCGTGAGAAAAGTGCAGTTGTTTTTTATTTGTATTTTATTGTGAATGTAAATGAATACGTGACAAATGGCTACGACAGATTTGTTGAAAGAAATCTTTGATGATTTCGGATTTGAAATGTCCGAAACAATGATTGAACGATGTAAGAGGCTGTTGACATTGTTTGAGTGAATAAACCATGCTGATATTATTTTTTATTTGGTCTCATTATTGTTTTTTGTTTTGCTTTTTCTTCTGTGATAGGCGTCGATTTGTGCATCACCTATTCAATTGATCCACGTGAATTTGTGGAAATCTTTGTGGCATTCAGTATAAACCATTTGAACGGTGCCGAACCAACCGATTCCACGCTTGATGATTTCGAACGCAAAGAATTAGCCAATTACAAAGCTAAAGCCAACAAAACCAACACCAATGTCAGATTACAAAGAAGTATCAATGATTACGATGGAATTGGATCGGACGAAGAGGATAATGATGTGATGGGAGCTTATATTTGTACCACACCAAAGGTTAGACAAACGATTCAAGTGACTTTTTAATTCGAATACTTAAAAAATATTGATTTATAGGCACAAAAACCGGCTCGATCACGTGGAATCAGTACACCTGTCAGCAATATGAGGAACAACCAAGGCTCAATGGACTCACCAATGTAAGTTGATCGACGAAATTCCTCTGCCAACAACGTTATCTGCTTCTTTATTTAATTGGCTTCTAAATTTTGTCTCTTTTTTTTAAATTAAAATCATAACAATTCCAAGATAAATGTTAACCTCATAACTAACTGATCATACTTCTAGATCTGTCCCTGTAAAAGACGCAACCGGAAAAGTGGTTTACACATTTGGCACATCCGCATTGATGAAAACGATTGATTGGATGAATACGGCTAAGCAAACGGTGAAATTTGAACGAATATCGGAGCAATTTTCCAGCGATCAGCATTACATGTACGACAATTTGTTGCAAAAAACGAGCATCGCCGCCGATCGCATATTCGATATTGGAGAAGAGATTTGTGCTAAACTCATCAAAGAACAGGCAGATGTTTATGAGAAAGATTTATACAATCAAGTCTTTAAATTGAATGCTCCAACACAGGGCACAATCAAAAGTGTTGGTCGCATTTGTTCGGATAGTGACGATCGGTTGGGCTTGCATTCAACGTTGCTGATCAGTGCAGATGAAATGTGTCTGCGACCATATCATTTGCATTTTGATCGAATGAAAAGTTTTGCATTGTTTCCGGGGCAAACAGTGTTCGTGCAAGGCCTGAATCCACGTGGCGATTCATTTTTTGTAGACGATATCATCGCCGAACGAAATTTAACATATGCAGATCCACCACAAGTTAAAGAGAATCTGAATATCGTTGTGGCATCCGGCCCATTTACGTCAAAAACCGACCTTAGCTATGAACCATTGAACGAATTGCTCGCATACTGCAAACAAAATACACCCGATGTTTTAGTGCTTCTGGGACCATTCCTCGATGCCGATCATCAAAGCTTGTTGGACGGTTCGATGAAACCGTCGGTGGAAGCATATTTTGATAAAATCATTTCTGACATCGTTAGTAACATTAGGTAAATACGGTCGTTTGTGCCAGTGTTCAAGAATACTGAAGAATCTTTAGATTCAATTTGGTTTCTCCTTCAATTGGTTTTTCTCTGCTAACAACGTAATTTTTTTTTTCATTTAAAAACCTAAAATCGATTTGTTTTTTACAATTTTCAGTGCCAACACGGAAGTATATGTGGTATCATCGAGTCAAGATGCACATAGTACGTTCGTGTATCCAACAGCCCCGTACGAATTATCCAAAAATGTAACGAACCCACCCAAAAATGTGACATTCCTTCCCGATCCATGCATTATCAAATTGAATGGTGTTACAGTCGGAATGACTGCTACCGATATTTACGGTCACATTTCCGACGCGGAAATTACTGCGTAAGTCGCATTGCTATTTTCTTCTTCTTAATATTCCGTCGCATTGGGTTTTTTGCTCAATTTTTGCATAAATTTGTGATTATTTCAATGAAATTTCATTCACTCTCTCCATTCCATTCGTAGTAATGCCGGCGACAAAGTGAAACGAATGGCAAACTATCTGTTCAATCAAGCATCGTTCTATCCACTGAATCCGTCATCCGATAAAGTGAGTGTAGACAGTGGGTTGGCGCAACAGTTTGCAACATTGCCCATTGTGCCGAATATACTGATTCTAAAAAGTGATGCCAAATGCTTTGCGCGCGAAGTAAAAGATGGTACAAATGGTTGTTTGGTGCTAAATCCGGGTTCAATGTGGGACACACAAAACTCAACGAAGGGCACATTCAGTCGTTTCATCGTTACACCGACCACTGATGATACGGTATCACTGAACAGTATCATTGCCTGTCAAATTATGAAAGTTTAAATATCCTATTTATAAATTTAATTGTATTCACCCTTTTCAATGTATTCAATCAACAAGCAAAAAAGATGAAATAAAACGAACGAAAAAACACTTTTTGAAACGGTTAAAAAACGAGCGGTTCACTTTTTTTCCCATCATTTTCCAATCGGTACAAAGTATAGTATGACAACACATGAATGACACAATGACAGCAAATACATGTACATAGTAAGATGAAATAAATGGTGTAAATAAAGATGGTTTACTTTTAACTACGAACAAAACAAAACAAAACCGAAAATTTACAAAAAAAAAACTAGTAGAAATTCGACGAAACAATAAGTTTAGTGATACCAAAAGTAAACCAAAACTACCAACGGAAATTAATTTTAATTTTGATTATCGATAAGTTTAAGTTTGGAATCGTGAGACGGGGCACACATATTAAAAGAAAAGTAGAAATGGGTAGCATTGATGCAGCATGTATATCTGGTTTTTTGTGTCGTCTGTGTTCAGAAATGCATCGAACTGTAATTCATATATACGGTGATCAGGGGCAAAAATATGATTTGGCCGGAAAAATTAACGCTTATCTACCTGTAACAGTGAGTTCCAATAAACAGTACACACACACACACACACCATACTATGCAATCAATATCTAATGCTATTCGAATTGATTTAATCATTTGTACCCTTCTTTCTTCTTTTTTTTTCTCTCGTGTGTGGTCGATTCTTGTTGACAGATCAAACCGAGCGATCCACTCCCCAAAACCATTTGCAAATCGTGCATGAAACGGGTTCAACAGCATCACGAACTAATGATTAAGATCCAAAGACACAAGAATGTCTTCAACAATAGCGCAACAAGACTCAACCGATTGACTGAAACTGAAACGGAATCGCCGATGGTGACGACCACAACAGCGGCGGCAACGGCGGTAGCGGTGGTAACGCGACAAAGTTCCACCAATTGCGATAATATTGAAAGTAGCGAGTCACCTGCGACCTGCTAGTTTTGTTTAGGCTCATTTTTTGTTCTCACATTTCTTTTAGTTCTAATTGTAATAATTGTCTCTCTCAAAAAATAATGTACGCAAAAAACAAAACAAAAACAAAATAGGAATGAAACACAGAGATTTCGTTTTGTTTCGGTGAATAATAAAAAAAAAATATTATGTATAATTCAGAATGATGATGACTGTAATTTAGAAAATCGATGAATTTCAATTATTTTGCTCGTTTTTCGGGTGGTTTGAATTCGCCGTTTTGATTATTGCCATTGGTATTGGCGGCGGTAGTTGTTGTGGCTGCATTTGGATTGGTCTCCTTTAGGTCGGGTCGCTGCGGAGGTTGATCAGGTGCAGTCACAACTGGCGCTGCATTTGGATTAGGCAACATTGGTAATGGAAATTTACGCATCAATTCACCCAGCAGCATATCCACTCGTTGCCGTTGAAACATTGAACTTGGCTCTTCCTTCGCTTTTTCGGGCTCTTTCTTTATTTGCGCCTTCGATTTATCCGTCACTACGTCAATACACGTTCAATATTAATTGATTACGATTTTGGTTATATAATGCAAACGAATATTATCGATATGTAACGATTCTTGGTATATTGAATGAAATGAAATTGATTAATTACAGGCTTTGTTGCTAGCAAAATCCCATGTGTAACCCTTGTTTGGATGATATCGTGAGTATGAGCTCGCCTCTTCGAATGCACCCTGCAAATGATGCACAGTTGATAGCTGAAATGAAATAAAATTATTAGTTTTGTACTCAATGCATTTGTTTGACTCATTTAGTTTCGCTTTTATGTCCTTTCTTTTTTAAATCAAATTTTCTTTTTTTCACAATTTTTTTCGCAGTCCATGATTTTCCATCTCGATTCATCTTTTTTTTAGTATGAATCAAAATGAAGGACATAAAAAAGAACAAACGAATATGTGGCAAGTGAACGGAAACAAAAATTACCAGTCGTGAATTGAATACGCTGGCCAAATCGGGTGCTTGATAAATTGTGCCAGCGATTATGTAGTAGTCAGCCATTGGTGTAGCTTCGGTTGGCGAATGTCGATGTTGCTTTCGTATCACATATAGAATTGGATCTTGTACATGCAGTAAAATATATTCCACTCCGACCATATTGCTGTTATGTTAAGAAAAAGAGAATAAAATGAAAAATATTGCAGGCAATCAATGTAAAGAACAATCACATTCCGAATTAAAACCGTATACCAGATAGAAATCTTATGAACTCCCACATTTAATCCCTTTCAATCGTTCAAAGCATACAGATTCAATTCAGAGTGGAATAAAAATAGTGCATCAATCATTTGAACAAGTCCTTACTTCAAATGTTCAAAGCTTTGACGTTGCATTTTCACGATCTCATTGTTGCATGTGCGATCATAAAATGGATTTGATTTTTCCATAAAATAGTCCATGACATTGCTGGGATTGAGAACGGCAATCCAGGCGGTGTCGTGCCATGATATCCACAGTGGATTCTCTTGTGACAATGGTACATTGAGACGCGGATGCATCATTTCGGTTCACGCTGCGTCAATCTAAAATATGAAGAATGAGAAAAAAAAACAGAAACAAAAACAATATAAAGTGCGGATGTATGGTTTGACGTTAAAAATAGAGTTTGTTTTTGTTACACATCCAAAAACTGAATCACATATGTATATGCTGTCTATCTCTCCCTCTCTCTCTCTCTCTCTCTCTCTCTCGGCAAATGAGTAACACGGTATCGTGTATACATATACGCCTTAACCATGAAAATGAAACTGAAGGAACCTTGAGCTTGATATAGCTCTCAAAAGGCGCACAAGTGTGTTGTGTGTCGGTTACGGTGAGTGTCTGTATACTGTGTGCGGTGTGTGTTGATGAATTTCTCAAAAATAGTTTTGACGGAAGCAATAACGCTTTGGTGCTTCCTACTTGTTCGGGTTATTTGCTTGTTGAAACGCGCCAAATGGCTGCGGATCGAACACAGAGATAGGAGAGACACAACAAAGAGGAACCTATCTATCTCATACGATAACATAATTTTAGAAGCAATCAAAGAGCCCGCGCGGTGTGGCCACGGCAATTTCATTCAACATTCACAGTCAGTGCATTGTTCTCTGCCCGTTGTGATTCATTCTTTGAATTGCAAACACACAAAGCCAGAATCAACTCGAGGCCTTTGATATCTCTCACCACCAACACAACAACACAATGGTACGCGATTTTTATTTTACTTTTAAAATTTAATAACTTTTCTTTCGATACTCATTCGAAAGACGATATTACTACTTTTTATTTCTGTAAAATATTTAAACAAAAACAAAGAATTACTTTAAAGGGATCAATCCACTGCTTCTTTCAGTTTGGAATTTTGACAGATTTGGTTGCGGTTAAAATGCTTGTGTAAGGCACACATCAAACGAAAAATTTATACCGTAAACGTTTCAAAATCTCTATCTATATCTATATGTGTGTACGTGTATGGATGAGTGCATGTGTGTGTAAACAGTGTATGCCACTAACCGTGTCTGCGTTTGCGTGTGTGTCTGTGTATGTATACATTGTGAGTGGATAGTGAAATGGATGATTTATGTTTGCGTCTATTTACATAGTGTGCTCTCTCTATCTTCAATTTACCTTATAGACTCTGTTCGGAAGCTCCGAATCATTTATGTAGTAATTGTTTTTTTTATTTTTTGTGTGCCAACTATTTCCTACTGCAATTTGTTTATTCATAATCTCCCAACTTCAACTTGAAATAATGATTAAAACATGGTAAATTCTTATTAACATTTTTATTCTTTATTCTCCTTTTATTTTTCTTTTCTATCTTGTGCTGTATACAAAACACAACCATTTGAACAAAATGATTGTCGGAATCGGTGTTTTTTGTTTTCGTCTCTGGGGGAAAATCGGTGGTGTGAAGGACAGTAAACAGAAAAAATGTATAAAACAATTTAAACGAAGACGTTTACGAAAATTGGTATGTGCATTGTGCATGGAACGATGTGTTGAAATTGTGACGTGTTCTGTACACACCAAAATAAAATTAAAAAAAAAACCACCAAAATGACCATCGACAGACAACTTCCTCCGCTGGGCCCAAGGGTTCCTCATTCCTGTTCTCTATGTGTGTTTGTGTGTTTGTTTATTGTTGCGATCTATATTTAAAATCCTTTTTTATCCGGAATATTTTGTGTGTGTGTAAATATTGTTGTGAACATGTGTCTAATTGCCGATCCGTGTGTTTGTCTCTCTGTGTATGTGTCTATGTGTGTGTTTGTATGCGCATCATCAGCTGATGATGCACCATTCAATGATTTCCCGTTTGCTAATGCATCTAATGACAAATATCATTTTCTCTTCCTCTCTGTCTCTATCTCTGTCTCTGTCTCTGTCTCTCTCTCTCTCTTAACATTTCAGGGGCTTCTACCAAATGACACTGCCTATCTTGGTTCATACGCTGTGGTACCGATACACAAGCATCCGGAACTCCTTAGCCAATGCTGTAAATTGATCAATTCGGAATGGCCACGCAGTGAAGTGGCCCGTTTGCGATCATTGGAAGCATCATGTGATCATTTACCAACCAGTTTGGTATTAACCCGGGATCATAATCAAACCGTGCTGGCACATTTGAAAATAAGCGCCATACAATCGAATCCGCAATGCTGTTTCATCGAATCGGTGGTGGTGGATCGAAAGCTTCGTGGTCAAGGTCTTGGCAAATTGATTATGAAATACGCAGAAGATTATTGCCGAGATTTTGTGCAACTTGATACAATTTATCTGTCAACGATTGATCAGGTGGGATTTTATCAAAAATTAAACTACACTATATGCGCACCGGTAAATATGTTCGGGCCGAGAAACTGTACATTACCATGTTTAAGTAATTTACGAAAAACCTACATGAAAAAATCATTACGATAAAAAAAAAAAATTTACAAACAATAATTGAATCAATAAGAATTTTTTTTCTATTAATGATGATATGAATATGAATGAATGAAAAAACACAAACATACAGAGAAAGAGTAATTTATTTTTGCAATTGACTATATTTTTTTTATAAGTGATATTTATGTACCATATCAAGCCAAGTTTATTTTCAACAAATTTAATTAGGAAAATTGTAAATAAAAAAGGAAATGAAATCAATTGATTGTATCAAATAAAATGAGAAAATAGAAGAAGAAGAAGAGAAGGTGCTATGTTTTTTTTTCTCCATTGGCAAAGACAATTTTAAGGCTTAAACCTTGGCGATGCCACATACTTTGCCATAATGTTCCGATAGATCCAGGGAATCGATGAAAAATTTGGCCAAATCAAATTTCGAAATGACACGACCGGGCGATTGATCGTGTAGAATTTTATGCTCCGACGATGGCTCATTGGCAATGTGCGGTGGCAATATGGCAATGTAATCTAACGATGTTGCCTTTATAATATCCAACATACGTTTGTGTTCAGCATTCAAATGCTCAAATTGTTTTGGCACTTTATCTTGATCCCAGAATAAAAATGACGATAAACACACAGATATTTTGCGCAGTTTTACTTTTTCCATGGCATTTACGATGTTTGTTAGGCCCGTCGATAGAACCGTGGTTGGTTCGAGTTTGTTTCGTGTACCCAGGGTAACCACCACACCATCCGTGCCAGTCAACACATTTTCAACATCTTGGACATTTGTAACATCACCTTTGATCAGCTCCACTTTGTCTCGATTCTTGAATGGTTCAACCGTTTCTTCGGTGCGATACAACAGTCGAACCGAAAGACCTGTTGCAAAACATGTTTTATGAATTGTCATTACGATCGAAAATTGAATTCAAAGGACAGCAAAAAAAAAAATATACAATCTAAATTTGCTCACCTTTTTGTAATGCATATTCAACAACGCATGACCCAGTCATACCAGTACCACCGAAAATTGCTACTTTGCTCACCATTTCGAGAAACGTCTATTCGAATCAACAACTCAAGTGATAATAAATTGGTGTTTTATTGTTCTTTTTTCCACGATATGCTTTGAGTGTGCAACCAAAACCAACAATCTTTCTTATCTTCGTCAAAACCAAATCGCACTTAACCACAACCGCAACACTGAGCTGCCTGTCAAAATTGAGCAACTGTACGAATAAGCGACGGAGTGAGTGAACTGTCACATTGAGCGCATATGTCGTCGAAGTAGAAAAGAAAACATCATTGTTTTCATTGGCTCATTTTGTTGCTACAGATGATAAAGCAAACAGTACGCAAAAGAAAGAAGAGAAACAAAAGCTTTTTGCTTGTGACGAAATCGTTTGTTGTTTTGTTTTTTTTTTCGTCGCAAATTGTGTGCCCACTTACAAATTGTGCATAAATAAATTTAGAAAAAAAAACATACAGTCAAAATGGGCAATCACTTGGTTGGAATTGCTCCGTCGCAAATTTATCCCGTCGAACATTATTTGATGGGCTCATTCGAATCAGATTTACAGTATGAGTCAAGGTAATTCAATTTTTTTCCCTTTTCATTTACTGATGCTATGACGATGCACTGAAATATGGGATTGTTTTTGGTGCTGATCTGGTTTTTATTTATTCTGTTTTCAGTATGGGTAGTACGCGATTTTTCAAAGTGGCCAGAGTTCGTTCGGATGAAGGGCTAATTGTGATTAAAGTGTTTGTCAAACATGATCCCAGTTTACCGCTAGAAACGCATGCAGATCGTGTAATGTTTATACAGAAAGCGCTGGCCAATGCAGTGAACTGTTTGCCATTTCAACGTGTTCAGGTGACGGAAAAGGTTGCATTAGTGATGCGAGAATATGTTAAACATAGCCTTTATGATCGAGTTTCAACGAGACCGTTTTTAACATCGTTGGAAAAGAAATGGATTACGTTCCAGGTGCTGTGCGCTTTACATCAATGTCATCGGCAGAAAATTTGCCATGGTGATATTAAGGTGGGTTGAAAATCAATCATAACAGACATGCATATTGCTTGATTCATTCATTTTGAAATATTGGATTTGATTGTAGCTGGAAAATATTTTGATTACATCATGGAATTGGATATTGCTATCGGATTTTGCATCGTTCAAACCAACATATTTACCCGAAGATAATCCAGCTGATTATACATACTTCTTCGACACAAGTCGACGGAGAACATGCTATGTGGCACCAGAAAGGTGAGCATTTCATTCAAGAAGAAAACAATGTCGATGTTTTATACTCAATCGTTGTTGTTGTTGCTGCAAGAGATGCAGAATTCTAAATTGAATTGTTTCTTTTGTAGATTTGTGAAATCATATTCGAATGATGCAAACAATGCCAAAAGTGGCATTCTCATTGGCGGCAGCTCATTACTTTCCGCTTCAATTATGGATGGCATACAAACAAACGATCAAAATAGTACGGCCAATCTTTTACCAGAAATGGACATTTTCTCAGCTGGGTTAGTTCAGTTTAACGGCATTACATGCACAATTTTGAATAGTTTATCACTATTTTTTTACCAGTTTTTACCAGTATCAAAAAGTAAATCATGGTTTTTCTTTGTTTTAGACATTGATTCATTAGAATTGATTTTTGTTAATTTAATTCACTTGTCAATGTTAAAGTGCGGCTTATCGAATTGTATTCGATTTCCTTTTTTTTGTGATTTTCACTTCAATTGATGATTTTGAATGTTCCATTGCAGATGTGCACTTTTGGAATTGTGGGGCGAAGGTACGACACCCTTTGAATTTTCACAATTGCTCGCCTATCGATCGGGTGATTTGGAATTGGTGACCAAACACTTGGACGAATTGGAGAATGAAAACCTGCGAAATTTGATAGCATCAATGATTAGCCGAAATCCAGCCGATCGTAAATCAGCCGAGGTTTACCTAGACGAACAACGTGGAAAGTAAGAAATGGTTTTTGGCACTTTTGGCTTGGATTTTCGTTCATTCGAAGAGAAGATTTTTTTTTTGTTCATTCAAATAGAAGAAATTTTGTTTGTGGATATATTTCATTCACACTAGGAATTTAATGAGAAAAAAATTCTGTTTTTCTTTCGGCGAAAAAGAAGAAGAGAAGAAGCTCCACTGAAAAAACGAAATTTCTCCTATTTTTGTTCTATTTTTACTAAACTTAAATTATGTTTCTACATATAAATGACAAAGAAAATATTAAATACTGTATATGCTTGATCATTCATACAGATTATTCCCCGAGTACTTTTATACATTTTTGCAATCGTATATGCAAATGTTTTCATCGCTGCAAATTCTGCCGCCGGATGATAAAATCATGCGACTGTATTCCGATATCAAGCAGATAATTGATATATTTTTGCCGTCAAATAACGAACAAGAAACCCGAACAATTCCCGATGACGATGGACTCATTTTAATAACAGCTGTGGTTACATCATGCATTCGAGGCTTAAAGTATTGCAAAACGAAATTGCATTGTTTGGAAATTTTGCAACAACTCTCCATGTACACCACATCCGAAACGGTGTTGGATCGAATTCTACCATATATTGTGAGTGTGTTTTTGAGGCTGTATTTTTTCTCTTCAAAATTTGGGTTTTGGGACGTTTTCATATCTCATAACTCTCATGGGATCTTTTGTTTTTGTTGTTGTTGTTGTAGAGATTGTCATGATAATCGTTCCTTAACTCAACATTTCATGTGTATTTCCATTTCAGTTACACCTGTGCAATGACAATGCGGCCCGAGTGCGTGTCAGTGCACTGGATACATTAACGATGTGCATTCGGTTAGTTAAGGATCTTCCACGAAACGATGCCAACATATTCCCTGAATATGTTTTACCATCGATTGCCCCATTGGCCATGGACAATTCGGTTGTGGTGAGAATCGCATATGCCCGAAATGTCGGTAAGTTGAGTGAAATTCGCTGTTTTTTTTCATAATTGAAAAGAAAATTTGATGAAAAATGCAAAATAAAGAACATTTCGATTGAAAATGTTCAAACTCAGTCCATATTCAAACAAACCGAAAACTAATCCGGTTCATTTCAATGCATTCCATTTCCCGCAGCTGACATTGCTGAGACGGCTCTCTATTTTCTCGATCAAACACAATTGAATGCAACCCAAGAGCTTCCAACCATCCGATACGAAACCGAGTTAAGTGCTTTACATGAAATGCTTCATCAGACGGTGTCACATTTGCTGACTGATGCGCAGCCAATCGTCAAGCAAACGGTCATCGAGTGTGGCATAACAAAATTATGCGTGTTTTTTGGCCGACAAAAAGCAAACGATCTAATTCTATCGCATATGATTACATTTCTAAATGACAAAGAGGATAAAAGTTTGCGCGGATCATTTTTCGATTGTATTGTGGGTGTTGCAACATTTGTTGGCTGGCAATGTTCGGACATTCTGCTTCCGTTGTTACAACAAGGCCTAACCGATTCAGAGGAGTTTGTTATTGCCAAAGCCATTCGAGCAACAACGGCATTGACTGGACTGGGTTTAATCCAAAAGCCAGCATTGTCCGAATTCATTACTGAATGTGCCTGTTATTTGAACCATCCGAATTTATGGATTCGTCATGAAGTATGCGGCCTAATATCGAGTGCGGCAAAGATTTTCGGAGCCATCGATGTGCAATGCAAAATAATGCCAGCCATTATTAATCACCTAAAGTGTCCGTTGATTCAAGTTGAAAAGCCAGAGATTCTAATGGATTGCCTGCAGCCAGCTATTCCACGCAATATTTACGACAGTGTCGTTCGATTCACCGAATTGGAATTATTCTTCACACTGCTGGAGGAACGGAAAAAGGCACGCGATAGCACCATTGACTCACTACCACAGCAATGTGAAATGACTTCACCTGTGAGAAATGTAAGTGTTTAAGCGTGAAATTTTTTATCAACTACCGATTTAAACCGAAATTCGATTTAAACTATTTTTACAAATTTTTTTCGGTTATGATTACACATTTTGGTATAAAACGATACATTTTTCGAAAGTTTTGATTAGAAAAAAAACATTGACAATTATGAAAAATTTGAATTTCTCTTGAATACTATCTCCATTAAAATGACATTAATAAAACACTTTCCAATTGAATGTTTCAGTTCTTCCGGCGAATTTCATGCGAAGGTCTAACGGACACAGTTGAAAAGCAAATTTTATCGATGAAATCATCGATATTGAAATTGAACAAATACCTCAAAAAGGTTCCTACTGACAAATACTCAACAAATGGGAAAATTTTCATCGATTCCAAATTGGAAATTGGAAAAGAGCTGGTTTTGGCCGACACCAAGAAACAATTGATAACCAATCGAAAATCGGATGCCGACAATCCTAACTTGGATTGGCCGCGTATGTATTCACATTCCGATAAATCGACGTCACCATTGAGTGATTATCATTCACCTGGTGTGAGCTCAAGTTCCCATTACAATGACACACCATCAACGTCGCTGGTTGAATACAGCATGCCGGAGAAGAATTTCATTCAAGGTAAATTCGCTTTCTTTGAACATTTTGTTTCTTTTTTTTTCATTTTGCATTTGTCTTCGGAAGAATTTTTCATTTTCTACCAATTTTACTTAGTTTTACTATTTTTGATATTTTTTGATATTTAATCATTTATTTTTTTCAAATTTTATTTTCCCAACCAAACAGAACGAAATTCCGACTGTCGAAATGAGTTGCATATGTTGCATAACAAGCTGAAAAGCCAGTATGTGCTATTGAATGCAAACAGTGATTCGAATGCGGCAATAAAACGAGCATCGATGATACCGGCTGGTCACAGTATAAAGGGTACGCTAATTGCTCATCTTCACGAACACAAATCATCGGTAACAAAACTGACAGCGCTCAGTTCCAGTTCATCACTTTTCGCGAGCGCTAGCACGGACGGAACCGTACGCTTATTTGACTGCAATAAATTAAACGGTCATCAGAGCATCAACAAGTATGTAACGATCATTAAAAATACGTATGTTTTTCTTCGTTATTTTGTTTTTAACGAGCAAAGAGAATGAACATGAATTATTCAGTTCAAAGGAGCAACAATTGGCTTTTAATGCAAAACACGTTTAACGAATACTACTTTTTTCTTGTGAAATCAGCCAACTGAAAGTTGCTTTCAAATGTCGAAATAATACATCCGTCAGAATGTGTATGTATATCGAAAATTTGATACGTTCATTTGTGAATTTTCCAATGAAAAATGTTGGTTTTGATTTCAATATATGGACTTTTATGTATAACGAGGAGAACCCAAGACATCGAAGAATTACACAAAACACAAACCATTTGAGAATAACGAATTATCTAATAACACTCCTTTCCCCAAATTTAGATCGCGTCAAATGTATTCGGCCAACGTTCCAATTTATTCAATTGCGGCCTGTGATTCGGGACAATCGTTAGCGGTTGCCGGCAACGATGGATCCCTTCTCTTATTGCAGATCGATCCAAATTCATCGAAAATGGCGTTGCAGCAAGCGCGGCACTTGGTACAAAATGCCGGCGGCTACAATGGATACGACGATGGGCCAATTGTTGATATGCATCCACTAGATCCAGACTCGCAGAGCGTTATTATTTATGCAACATTGTACGGTGCAATCATTTGCTGGGATTTACGGATGCCAACCAATGCATGGCGACTGAATAGTGATCTCAAGCAAGGTGTTATCACGACATTTTGTATTGATTCGAATGTTTCATGGCTGGCAACCGGTACAAGTCATGGCAATCACATTTGCTGGGATCTTCGATTCAAATTACCAATAGGTAAGAATGCATTTCTAATGGATTTTTCATTGAAAGAAGGACGCAAATGAATGATGCCTTACAATATAAATGCGTTGTTCAATTCCTTCCAGTAGCGACTTGTCGGTGTTTTTTGGATATTTTCGACAAAGAATAAAGTTGAAACTTTGGAAAATGCTCAAAAATTCATTTGAAAAAAATTCAATTGAAAAAGAAAACTAAAAATCTCCCATCTCCATAGCCAAAATCCAACATCCATCCGCAACACGAATTCGAAAAATAATTCCACATCCAACGGAATCATCGTGGTTAATATCAACGTCACATGGAAACAACGAGGTCTCAGTGTGGAACATTGAAACGAGCCATCGGCAGGCTGCTCTTTGGGCCAGCAGTGCGCCACCCCTGTCCAAAGAATCGGTAATAAAAAATTACATTCTTCTTCTTTTCCTTAATTTAGGTCAGATATGAGCCACTTTTTTTTTAAATATAAAAATGTAGCTCTTTCTCAAACAAAACACATTAATAATTCCCATCACCAAAATGCAAACAGAAAAATACGTCAAGTGTCTGCGGTGTAGTGTCGTGCATTGTCGACCGATCGCCGGTACTATTCACGGGAAGCTCGGACCAACGCATACGATACTGGGACTTGAGCACAAGAGCCAATTGTTCAATGATTTCGCCTGCCAGCCGTGACTACGCCAGTGGTTCGAATTTCTCCTATGAGTAAGTCATTATATATTCTCTTTGTCTCTTTTTCTATCTCTTGCATCTCTGTGTTGTTGCATGATGCAATTTCCATGGTAATTTAATTAATTCACAAAACCATATTTCTGCTCTATAAACATTACTTGCACGCGCAACCACACACACACACACACACTCACACACACACAGCTCGCGACTCATCGATGGAACGCGTGTTATCTATGAGGTACAAACGCAGAATAAATCGCATGCAATTGCATCTGGATTGACAAACACACTGAAATCAGATGACTATTCGCCACGATCGGGCCCCGAAATGCCGCTACCATGCCACAACAATGTCGTAACGGATTTACTAATGTGCAGAACACAAAAATACCCCGTGCTTATATCGAGCAGCCGAGACGGTGTGATCAAACTCTGGAAATGAAGAGAGAGAAACCACAACAGCAACAGCAACAGCAACAAACACACAAACAAAAAGTTTATTTAAATGTTATGTTCACATTTTGAATGCATATCGACGAAGAAAAAAAAATGAGAGAAAACTAAAGAAAAAGAAAAACCAGATTAAAAGACAGAAAGAAAAATCATTGTTGTTTTGCATTTTATGGTAATTTTCTAAACGTGCCCATATTTTCTTTAGGTTGAATTTTTTTTTCTCCTTTCCTCTTCGATTGCGACAACATTTTTTCCGGTTACGATGGGGTCAACGGGTGTTCGTCGCAGTTCAATGTTTCGTCATCGTAGTCAGGCCATCACGAGGAATGCTATTAAATGGAGAGGCAAGGCCGTGAAAATAATCCACGATCGCATAAAGAAATTCACATTTGTCTTTTGTGGCGCTAGACTTCATCAGAAAAGAAAAAAAATGTGTACGCCTATTGCGATTGAATATTTAAACGCATTATCAAATCCGAGAGAGAAGAAGAAAAAAACCATATATTGCGACGATTTCACGCGCATTTCACGATCTACGAAAGTTTTTCAAGAAAAAAACATTTTGAAAGTCTCGGTTTCATGTAAGAGAGAAAAAATAAACAAATGCATTCGAAATGCGACTTGCAATTATGATGCGTTAAATCTATTTGTGTTCGATGTTGAAAACATTGTGCGTTTTACCATGCTGATTGGATGGCCGTTTGTGCCAAGTGCACTGCTGCATACACACATGGGTTTGTCGCTGTTTCTCTCTTTTGCGAACTGATTTAACTAACAATCATGCGTTATTTCTTCTGCCGAAGTTTAAGAAGAAGAAGAAGAAGAAGAAGAAGAAGAAAACAAACCTGTGCATAATAATAATAACATAATTCAGTTCCGAGCAAGTGAAAATTTTACTCGGCACAACTCTAATCAGCACTCAATCGAAGAGGGAGGGAATCCATATCAGGTTACGTTTTTTTACATGCCACAAATAAAAAAATGACGAACAAAAACAATGATAGAAACAATGATTGATATTTGCATCGACAAGAAACGCGTTCCCATTTCAGCAATTGATCACAAAATTCCAGTGAGCACCGCGCGTAATACCAATATTTTCCTATTACCAGCATAATGTGTGAGCATTAAAACCAACATATGTTTGTTACTGCCTAAGGTCGGCTGCAGTTATTCAATTTTGAGTTCAAGAGTATATTTTTCCAGCCGATTACACTTCTCTCTCCCTATGTGTTGGTCTCTCTCTTTCTCTCTCTCTCTATCTCTCTCTCTCTCTCTCTCTCTCTCTCTCTTGCAGTCATTTTTTCTATGGTGATAAAAAACAAATTGCTATAACAAATAGAGAGTAAACCACATCAATAATACACATATATATTTCTCGTGTAAGAGGTAGAGAAAAGCGAAGTAATGAGTCGCAGAAAGGAATGAAAAAATGCCGTCCGCTTTCGGCTAGCCATTTTCATATGTGATATATAAGTTTATGTCTGTAATCACTATGTTCACTTTGTTCCTGATTTATTTTTTTACGATTTGATAACAAAGGTGATTCAAACACACACACTCACCATACATGCATACGAACATCCAATTGTGGCCACTTCGAAACCGTTCAATACATTCATTACATCAAAGTGTAATAGGTTGATAACAGGTTGCGGGTCGACAAACTGTTCAATTCATGACATTCATATTGTGCAGAAGGAAAAACTAACAATCCAAGTATATGCCATTGAAGCACTGAGATCGGAAATGTGATACGCAATTGAAGAACAAAAAATCGATTCATCATTTTTACCCATGAGTACATCGAAGCCGATCGAAGCTTTAAGATACATGCATCATGCGAAGAGACTGTCTGAAAATGTGACTTCAACCAAATCTAGGTGAATGAAATTTCATGGAAATATCCAATTCACGTTGCATCAAATCGATCTGCGAACAAGTTTGTGAATGAGACCAACCAAATTGTCAAAAAATTCGGGTTTTCATTGGAAATATAAAGGAATTCGGATTTTCGATTTACTAAAAAGACTCATAATGTGGAATCAATGTTCTGCTGTACCATTTTAAGCCATTCGTTCATTCATTTCAAGCCATTTTTTTCTTATTTTTCGAGTCATTTTTCATAATACCCGATTTTTCTATTTATCATTTGAATGCTGATCATCTGTCTACCTGGCGAAATATCATCAATTTCTGATTTAATTAAACGATAGTACGGTTTAGTGTTACAAATACAGTGTTAGCGTATCATTTCAGTTTGAGAATACAGAGTTTTATGTCCCAGTCAAATTCAGGTTCGGTTTCATGGTGAGAAAATCATTTTCTCTTGAATTTCAAAACACTGCATTCAACGCAAACGTGAATTTTTCGCTATTCATGGAAGAAAAATCTGTCACATTTGCATTCTCATTGATTCAATGCGCGGTGTTTGGATTGAGACGTAGAGCAAGAAAGAGAGAGAATTGGAAATAATCATCTTTCTCAAATCGCATGGTGATTTGCCATTGCTTTCACATTTTCCAATCGTCTCTTATGTGTCGGTGCAAATGATAGTAGAAAAAGATGACAGTGAAAGAAAAGAAGTAAGCAGCGAACCAGATGAAAGAGTAAAATCAAGGCAAATCCAGCAAAAAAGACAGGAAAAAAATGTAGACTAAAATGATAGGGAAAAATATAAAATCATAATCGAAGCATACATGAATATATATTAATGGTTTATGCAATTAATAAATTATAGACATATATAATCGATATGTACACACGAAAAAAACAGGGTTATTTTCGGTTGGACGTAAAATTGAAGATGGTAATTTTGTTCGTTATTCGATCGGTATTTTTTTTTCGTCGTCAGATTAGTAGTCAAATGAAACTATTGTCAAATGAGTTTTATTGGCGGGTGATTAAAAGATTTCAGATTGTTGAAATTAACCGAAATAAAATAATGTCTTCACTAAAATTCATTATCAATGTTAAACATCTGAAAGATAATTGCTGCATTGTTTACCATCGTGTTGCATATTAAAACCATACACTTTTGTTCGTATCGAATCATAAGTAAGTTAATAGTTGCATGTGCACGTTTTTCTGCTACTCCATTTTCTTCATGAAAAATAAATAAATTTGCAAAGCCTTATACAACGGAACGAAATTAGTTTACCTAAATTACTTCGTGTATGATTTGATAAATTCATTTTAAACACACACACACACACAGTGAGAAAATTACCAACGGAATTAACTCATCAATTGTGAATGCTGTAATACGTGACAAGTACGCGTTACGTACGGCAATCTTTTTTTTATATTTTTTTTTCCTTTCTCTCTTTCTTTTTCTTCTTCTTCTGTTGTGTACATCTGATTTGTATCATCTTCCATTAAGACAGAATATCGTTCAAAGTGCCTGATTTATTAAATGACACGTGAGTAACTTTTGATTTCATTTTGTGGCGACAACTTTAGAATTTCATTTGCTTAATCGCCGTTTGTTTCATCTGTTCGACGGACGAGATTGTATACGCAATATACAAATGATGGCACGTTCAACAACAGAAGAAAACCATCATCATCATTCGGTCCGAAAACCTGCTCACGTGGTGCCAATGTATTTAGTAATGTTGTGTTGCGATTTTGGTCGATATAACAGCTTTTGCATCAAGTCTCTCTCTCTCTCTCTCTCTTCCTCTCAATACTAATGCAATTCCCATTTTGTTGCTTCTTATTCGTTCTTTCGTTTTTGGTCTCACTTTTAACGACTTTTAGCCTATGCAATTTATGCTGCTGCTGCTGCGCTGCTGTCGACCAAAACATGTGTCTGCAATGTGCACGCTTTGTTGTCAGCCACAACAAATGTGCAACTGGTGTTTACTTGCTACTCTTATTTTTCGTTCAATCATCAGTACAAATGTTGTAGTTTTTTTCATTCGCTCTGAATGTGCATACGGCAGCCCCGGTATTACCGCTATAAATTTCTGCTAAAATACATCATCGGACGTATAATCATAGGCTCCAAAGTGTTTTTTTTTCTATGTTGATCTTTTGCTGCTCTTGCGTCGCGTCAAAACACAATACATACATAGAAATTGCTCTTCAATTTCACGTTCGTTTCCGATTTGGCAATGTTTGCCGCATTTGTAATATCCCCCAAGAGTCTTCGGTCCGTGTAAACGGCTGGTTTGTTCGCGGAGTATTGGCTGGTGAGAGTGTGTGAAAATGAAAGAGAAACCAAAAGCAGTTTACTCGCTGCGGCACCAGCAGCACACAGCGAATTGCAAGAAAGGAAAGAGTTAGAGAGAGTGCTCTGCTATCGAAAAGATCAGTGTCTTATGCTCAGTTATACACTGGATTTTTCTTCCAATACGTACGGTAACATCAGCTCAGCTTTGGATATAAACACACGGAGCCAATGTAAATATAAAAGTCAAAAATAAAAGTTGAATGAAAGAAATGGGAAAAAAGCACAACAAAATCAGATAATAAGAGAAGTTAAAAAGCGACTAAATTTGTCTTCGGTGTGTATGGCGCGCGAGCGCATGGCTCTCTCTCTATCTCGCGTGCGCGTTTGGCCTCTACTATGTATGCTTGTATGTGTGTGTGTGTTTGTGTTTGTGTGGCTGCTTCCACCCGAAGTATGTCATCTCTCTGGTTATTTTGGTTTCGAAGCAAACCGCGCGATGGAAAAATCATAGTGAAAGCGAATGACTTGGTGCGTGGATTTCGAACGGTCGATCATACATCGTTTCACAGCCACAACACTGTGATTCAGTCTGATTTTATGCGTCAAGCATTGCAAATTCAACATCTCTCTGTCTCTCATTCAGAGAGCCATACACATACACCCCGACACGAACACACATCGTACGCAAAGTCAATTTTTCCGCCTAGTTGAATTTTTCGGGTATGTGACAAGGCAGCCACCGTTACACGTGCATAATCATTAAACGACAACCGTGCACAGCGAAACGATAGTCGAAGAGATCTCTCTCATATATTCAGATTATTTTGATACACATCGAAGTAAAATATATTGCGTTTTCGAAACCGAAAACCATACTACAAACGGCAACTATATTTTATGGAATTCGATCCATCGTGCAATTTTCAGTTGTTATTATTTATTTTTGGTGTTATTGATTCATTTATCAAATAAAAACAACTTCATAGAATGATGATGATTGTGTGATGTGATACATTGAAAATTTCTGCAAAAGAAACAATAAAAAAAAAGTCCATCGAATTTTGATTGTGAAGGAGAAAAAAAAAAGAAGTGAAAAAAATTTGGACTTTTCGGTGAATCAAAGTGAAACCAGGAACTAACAGTATTTGTGACGAATTCGTTTGGCAAACGCATTTTTCAGTTGGTAAATTAGTGACCGGTATTACGTGCGATTGTACACAATGGCTGTAAGTAATTCAAATTTTTTCTTCAGTCTCGTTGATAAGTTTATCACAGCAAAAATCCATTCGCACCGCATACAACAAACAAAAACAACAATCGGGATATGATTGAATGGGTACATATAAAACGTAATCGCATAATTGGGAAACCGACGAAACACGAATTAAAACACACACATATCTCACAACGGTTGCCTAACATCAAGATGTGAACCGTATTTCTTTCTTTCGTTCGTTCGTCTTTTTTTCTTTCTTCATTTGTAGATTACTTTCTCCATATGCTCACAACGAATCGAGCATTTCGCTATTTAAATATGCGCCAAATGTGGCTGTTTACGTTTGTTTATATTTCATTATTATTCAAACCGCACCAAAGGCGGAAAGAAAGAAAAAGAAGAAAATAAAACCCAGATGAATAGTTGAAATATGCAGTTTGAAGCATTTGAATAATGGTGTTGATAGTACGCGCGTTCACCTTCGATTTTGGTAGCGAATGTGCTCACTCCAGAATTTCACACTATATCCGAACAAATGGAGATGTTTATGTTATTGCTCATTCATTCATTCATATTGTTTATTATTTGCAAACAATCACAATTATTGCGTGAGTGTATCTGTCATGAGTCTCGATTTGGTCACTGGCTGAGTGAATAGAGGGACACCGATTTCTTATTCAATAATTAATAGATACCTTTTCTCATTATTATAATGAATCTTTGAACGAAAACCAAAAAAAAGACAACACAAAATAAATATTTACACCGATTTTATTCAGATATGCAAGAATTCATGAACGCTATCGATTGTGTCCGGATGAGCGCGAAGCTTGCACGTTGCGATGCATCGCATCATGTCACATACACATTGCTTTGAAAGAAAGCGAAACCGCTCTGCTGCGAAAACAAAAGCGAGCAAATTGGTTTTACAAATGGGCAAACTTGTATTCAATTTAGCCAGCCAATGATTGACGACTATCACATGCAAAATTGACCCCATCCATTGCCCGTGACTGTTAAGTGAATACGAGCATTCTGCTTCTTTTTTTTTATATTGGAAATGAACCGTTACTTTTTTTCTTCTTTATTTTACATCTGTTTTTTTCCCTTTGGTCGGTGCGTATTCTGCTTTTGGACAATCGTTGAATGTCTGTTAACGATGATTTTTCGTTCGTCAAGCTATCGGCATGATGAGAGAGTGCGTACATCATAATTGCCGTGTAATCGGAAATTTCTCTTGGGAAAACCCCCGCACAAGAAACAATAATCTTTTGATCAATCGTTAATTGGACATCCTCTGTGTTTTTGGACAATTGATACGATGGGTTGATTGAAGAAATCAAAATCTGGTTAAGAAGAAAAAAATCAATTTAGTTTTTGGTTCGAAAAATTGATTCGTAAAATTTGACTCGGAAAAAAAAGCTGATTCGAAAATTTAAAAAAATTGATTTGAAACATTGATGCCGTCTGAGCCGAAAAGTTGAAAAAAAAAAATCGAGTCGAAAAAAAAACGCATCACGTCCCATTGCTTCGAAAAACTAAAGCAAAAAATAAATTATGGAAATCCCGAATCTATTGAAAAAAAAGTGACCAAAATTCATTCAATGGCAACCTCGGCATTTGTTTGTTAGCCAAACGAAGTCTCAACCGTAGTTCAACATAAAAGCTATAATGAACTTAATAATAGTAGCACGAAAATATTGTTTGCCATGTTTGGCCAGCGCGGTATGTCATCAAACACACTATTGCATCTTAAGTCAAATAAGCTCAGTCTTCTAATAATTTGACGTGTGTTCATTAACTATACAATTGACTCAATCGTTTGAATCAAGTACGCTGTTGAACTGTGTCGCTGGCGCACGCAACGGCAATCATCATGTTCACACACAAAAGGTGGACAATAATAGCAAAAGTGAGTAACGAAAATGTCAAAGCGACAAGTTAATTTCGTACTTGAACGAAATAAAAGCGCTCTATGGCGCACCTACTGCACTTTCATTACGAGAAAAATTACGAACCAACCAACGACAACAAACCGGCCACATCAGAAAAATGCAATGATTCAATTAAAAAATTTCAGCATCAGAAAAAAGAGTGACACAGTGCGCCAAACTGACGAAAAGTGTAAACGTGCAAATCAGGTCCTTAACACCGATTAGTAATTCGGTTGCGACTGCATTTCAGCGAATTCGTTCGCAGTCGCACACGTTTATTGTATCACTCGAATGCATAACTTGACTTAACAAAATCTTGTTTCTACGGCTGCAACAGCTACGGCTTTATTCTACCCAATCGATGCATAAAGTAGATCGTAGAATTAATCACCGAGCGTTTAAATCGCTTTAAATGCTTCTGCGTTGTTTTTTTATTCGTCCAAAAAATATGTATTCAAATATGAAATCGTATCGTATTGAATAATTTTTAATCTGGTTCATGCACTCGAGCGGACCCGGTTTCTTGGGAATGAACGAACGAGTGAGAAAAAAACCACGCGCCATCGTATGGAAACGAAGAAAAAAAAGACATAAAACTGGAAAACATACAGCACCTTAACATAGATGCCAAAGAAAACGAAAAAAACACTCTTTTTTTTTTAAATATTCGAAAGCCATTCACTTATATATAGTTTCGCTTTCAATTTTTTTCCCCTTTAAATCGGTGCGTTACAGCGAAGTCGAAACATTTGACGTATTTTTTGTTGTTGTTGTCGTAGCTAGAGAAGTCGGTATCGTATTTCGTCTCAATTTTTGCTTTGACACACCGTTCGTAACAAACGATCAACGAATATATTCGTGCAATGCTGCATCAATAGGCCGTCGTTGTTGTCGTCGTCGTCGTCATCAACGTATAATATATTTAATTACTCCTTCAATGGTCTTGTTTTAAGGCCATATCTCTCTGTCTTTCGGTTTTTTCTTAATGCACCCACTTTTTTTTTAATTAAACACCAATGTATTACTACTATAATACTGTCCGGCCGGCACTGCGCCATCGTTGCTGCTGCCATTTCGGTTTTTATCGGACGTCGTCTTTTTTCCAGCACAACAAACTAGTCTACATTCACTTTAACCGCGCGCACACCGTGTTCTTGGTAGTTTTTAAGCTCTTTTGGAAACCAGAGCAGAAATGACAGTTTCATTACTTCGGGCGAGTATCATATGGTGTGTGTTGGCGCGCATTCGTTCTGATTGATCGACACACAGGATTTTCGTTCGCAATGGTGATATGTGATCGATTGTACGTGTAAGCGCGACAGCTGTTTATCGCCCGAACGAAATGAAACATATGATCATGAGATGGATGCAAAAAAAAAATCCATCGTCATGAGATATGAGATAAAAACTGCACGTAAAAAAGTCTGCAAATAAAAACTACACTTGAAAGAGTCATGAGATTAAATTAGCTCCAATCAACTAAATGGCAAATTAACGCAAACACCTGAGAAAAATTCAACCGATAATTGAATTGAATGGAACAACGATTTATAAATTCAATTGAGATGTCAGAGGAGATGAAAAAACACACGCAAAATCGTCCCACAATCAAATACTTATTTTATCGATCTGTTTTCCATTCGGGGAGCGGTGTGAATCGAAATTATATTTTTTCCATGAATTTTCATATGTTTTTTTTTCTTCGGACGTTAAAAGTCAACTTTCAATCATTTTTTTAGCACGAATCCAACCAAAAACAGAAGAAAACAAGAGATTTCAGTTATTTATTCTACTTTGTTGCTTCACAACAAACTACTTTTTTTGCGCACTACATGAAATGTATTTCATCTAAGTAATTTTGCAGTAATATATCATTAACACTATGACTGTTCTTCATATTTGCAACATATTACTGTTCTTGGGGGACTCCAGGGCCCCCAAGATATTTCATATGAAATCTGGACTGTGATAAGAGATAACAAATTAGTGTCTGAAGCAAAGTTGTAATACTCAAAGTTTGCTATAATTTTGGTGCAACAAATATTGCTTATCTCTTATCAGTTCCGCGAAAAACGCGAAAAAACGCGAAAATCGCAAAATTTTCCGACATCGTTTTAGTGAAGCTGATAAGAAGTAAGAGACTTGCCTCTTCGACAGAAATGTAGAGCAGGTTGAATACTACAACTTTGCCACAGACACCAAGTCGTTATCTCTTATCAGTTATGCGAAAAAATGATAAGAAAAAATTCGCGGTTTTCGCGGTTTCCGCGTAACTGATAAGAGATAACGACTTGATGTCTATAGCGAAGTTGTTGTACTCAAGCTGCTCTACAACTTTGCCGAAAACCATCTGGTTATCTCTTATCAGTTTCGCGGAATACGCGAGAAACCGCTGAAAACCGCGAAAAAACGCGTTTTTTTCTTATCATTTTTCACGGAACTGATAAGAGATAACGAGATGGTGTCTATCGCAAAGTTATAGCTCTGGTCGAGTACTATGATTTGCCACAGACCTTAAGTCGTTATCTCGTATCAGTTACGCGAAAAAATGATAAGAAAACATTCGCGTTTTTCACGGTTTTCTGCGGTTTCTCGCGTATTCCTCGAAACTGATAAGAGATAACGAGATGGTGTCTTTACCAAAGTTGTAAAGCAGCTTAAGTGCTACAACTTCGCTATACACTCCAAGTCGTTATCTCTTATCAGTTACGCGAAAAGCCGCGAAAACCGTGAAAAACGCGAATTTTTTCTTATCATTTTTTCGCGTAACTGATAAGAGATAACGACTTGATGTCGTAGTGAAGTTGTAGTACTTGACCAGAACTACAACTTTGCCATAGACACTATTTCGCTATCTCTTATCAGTTTTGCGGAATACGCGAAAAACCGCAGAAAACCGTGAAAAACGCGATTTTTTTCTTATCATTTTTTCGCGTAACTGATAAGAGATAACGACTTGATGTCGTAATAAAGTTGTAGTACTCGACCAGAGCTACAACTTTGCCATAGACACCACCTCGTTATCTTTTATCAGTTCCTTGAAAAGTGAGAAACTATGAATTCGCGTTTTTCACGTTTTCGCGGCTTTTCGCGTAACTGATAAGAGATAACGACTTGATGTCTACGGCGAAGTTGTAGAGCAGCTTGAGTACTACAACTTCGTCATAGACACCAAGTCGATATCTCTTATCATAGTCCAGCTATAATATAAAATAGCCATGGGGCCCTGTGGTCCCCCAAGAACAACAGCGTAACATGTTTTGCGGCAGGCTGTATTTTACACATACTCACACATATGCATATGTTTTTTTTTTCATTCGTGTAGAGAAATGTTCAATCTATACAATGAGACTTAACTCCGGTTGGTTTATACACTGTTTAGTACTTTTATTCAACTTTAAAGTTCGCTGGGGGCCCTGGGTGCCCCAAGAACAATCATAGTGTTAAAAGGCGTCCCTTTTAATAATGTTATGGATTAAAAACATAATACGAAGGATATATATTTGCAACAAAGTTGATACAGAAAAAAGATTTTCTCAGTTATCTCAAAAATGAATTGCAAGATCTTGGTTTGATTTCTTTTTTGAAAGATACTACCACTGTTTTAAATTAAATAGATAATATGACCATAGAATCTAAATTAACTTTCATTATGCTCAAGACTCGGAGAATACTATACAAAAGAAGGAAAAAGTAATGTAAATTTTAAACAACA